TCCACCACCGCCACGCCGTCACGTCAGCCTCGCACAATCATTATACCATGATCACCTCAGCGATTCAACAACCCAACCACTACCAGCCTGCTGTATCCGACTTTTACGATCCTGATGACGTCTTGCCTCACGACAGTCCCCAGATGAATTCTTTCAGACCCAAGCTGGAGCCTTCCCCCAGCCCGCCACCTCAGATCCCTCCAGTTGCGGTACGTCCACGTCTGAGGTCTCTGTTCGAGAATTGAATATCTGACCAGATCCCAATTTTAGGCCTCCCACAGACAGGGGGATGCGGTCTTGATCAATTTCTTGAGCAATGGCAAGCGCCCTGATATTGCCCGCGCCATCGCTGTCCACTCTGACCATTCCGACGCCGCATCTGGCGCTGAGGACGATCCATCCATCTCCTCCAGTCCCTCCACGTCTTCTGCATCATGCAAGTCTCCCCCTTTCAACCTCGCCGCCGTCACCGCTGCCGCGGTCTCAACCTCGCCTTCTGAACCCGGCGCAATCAATCTCATCAACCTTGCTGCGGGCGCCCTAGCCTTCACCACTGGCAACGGCCCAGACCCCCTGAGAAAACCTACGGCAGACTCGACACTTGTCGAATCTGTTCGTAGCGACACAATGAGCTCTGCAGCCCCTCAAACATCACGAGTTCGCTTCAATCGCCCCCTAGGTGCTACAGTATCCGAGCCCCTCTACCCTTCAGAAGGGTTCTATACCGCTACGCCGCCTGGCCACTCGATGCGCCATGCTGAAGTTGTTTCGCCCATGTCGCCACTACAGCCCGCTCTTGGGGGTCTGCCTCCGCTGCAAATCGATTCGCCGAAATCAGATAGTCCTGGCCACGGTTCCTTGCCCTCCATCAGACAACATTTCGGCGATCTAGCTTTGTCCCCTGACAAGGAGTTGCCGGGGCCTTTACACTCTGCCGTCGCCGCGTACCCTCGACCCTCGCCGGCAATTGTACCACGCATGTCTTCGATACCATCACTGTCTGGACGCCACCCGTCGCCGCCCACATCGCCCAATAATGGTTATGGTCGACACGATCTGCCTTCGCCTGCCCAGTCTCTCATCTCACCCGGTCACTATTATCAGACACACAATGGGCCTCCTCGAATGGGAAACGACAAATCTGGCTGTTTCGTTGACACCCCGAGTAATGACCAGCCATCACTACATGGGTCAACGGTGCCAATGCTCGACCGCATGAGCATCGACGGTCTCACGAATCCACAACCAGGCGGCTTCATTTGCGAATTCGCAGGTTGCACAGCACCCCCCTTCCAGACGCAGTACCTTCTGAACTCTCATGCCAACGTACACTCGTCTGCCCGACCACACTATTGTGCTGTTCCGGGATGCCCGCGTAGTGAAGGCGGCAAAGGTTTCAAAAGGAAAAACGAGATGATTCGACACGGCCTAGTCCACGAATCACCAGGATATGTTTGCCCGTTCTGTCCCGATAGAGAGCACAAGTATCCGCGCCCGGATAACCTTCAGAGGTACGTAGTCGTCAGCAGCTCTTTTCCTCAGTAAGATGCTGACAACGATGCACAATCAGGCATGTTCGAGTTCACCACGTGGGCACTGACAAGGATGATCCGCTGCTTAGAGAGGTCCTGTCACAGCGGCCAGATGGTCCTAATCGTGGGAGGCGGCGGCGAGGTGGTACCACATGATGCGATGCAGGCATGCGACGCAACCATATCTTCCCTTTCTTCTTTCACTTCATTTTGGTCATGCTCATCTTTGAGTACATATTTAGCGTATTTTATGTCTCCGGCCTCGACCGGTCCTCCGGGGGAGCTGCTGACACCGGAATTCTGTACATATGATTGCTGAAGTGATGAGAGGCTGGCTGACAATTGCTGGTTCCAGATGAATCAGCAGGGAATGCGGTACTGGGTTTCTTCTTGTAGGCTTGCGTGTTCGAAACAAGGGTGTCCTTTTCAGGGTATCGGACAGCGGACGACATGTCATGTTTCGAGGGCCTACCTTTTTTTCTTGTTCCGCATCTGGTCTCATGAAGGCAAGCGTCTTGAGTTTCTGGCTGTTGCG